ATGACGAGAATAATAAACCTATCAAGAATTTGAATAACTACAGTTTCATCGATTCACCTGTGACAGCTCAAAATCAGAACAACAATTAAAAGCCAAAATTGATACTTTGAAACCTCATAAAAGCAGGGAATTTCATCCTAGAATTGAGAGAGATGAAAAAATATGTGAATTAAACCAAAGTATAAACCATGTCGTTTGGAATTGATTCAACTAATCCAATCTTCCTGCATGAAATTTAGGTTTCAGTGATCTTACGGTCTCCTAACATAGGAATTAAATTCCACGATCATCATTTACTGAGTTATTAACTAACGTGCATAGACTATTCCCCTTGTTACTTTGGTTCAGCCTTCATACTCAATACAACTGATAGAAGTTTATTTTGGTTCAAGAAACGACTTTACAAATTCCATTTTAAAACCTTAAGCTGATTGCTGTAGAAGAACAGTTTTTCAAACTATTCAGAAGATGGAAGTGTGCATTTAATCTATCAGGAATATATTCATTTGGTGGATTTATTGGGTTCAAAAGTGTGAAATTTCGGTCTGATGTTTTATCCGTTGGAAATATATATATACATATCTCCTGTGTGGTATGAAACTGGAAGCTGGTCAACCCAGTACATGGGTGTTTATTACGTTATTAGCTATGCATGTTGGGTGATGGCTTATTACACCAATCAGTTGCCTGTGCACAAATAGGCGAAGCTAGGCTTGAACCTTAGAGTAGTTGCTTGAAAGTCGAATGTATAGAATAATGAAGTATATCTGTATTCTATATGATACCATATGTTTTAACGACAAAATTAAATTCAGGAATAAAATAAATCGCAGATAATTCACTCTCAACAGCATGTTTCTACGAACTTTTCAATTGGATGAACAACTTTCAGAACTCATAAATATCTTGCTGTTACGGACTCAGTGTTGTAAACACATACATGATTGACATTTATAAAAATTGGTACAGCAACTACATAATCAGTGACTTAAACAATAGTGAATACAAATGCAGGTACAGTAGTACTAACTGAAGAGAGAGAGAGAGAGAGTCATGTTCACCGGTATCTGTAACAAAAGTTTTAGATCAATGATATTAACTAATTTCACAGAAATATGTTTACATTCAAATTTCATTACAGGTGAACATAATCCGTGACTACATAATAAAAATTATCCTTATTAGTGGTCAACTCTCTGAAATTGTAGGTATTAACTCAGAGTAATCGAAGTTTAGTGCGTACATTGAGACTTAGTTTTATTTGAAGTTGAGATACATATACTGGGTTTTCTTTCTAAGGTGTCAAGGGTGGTTTTTTTGTGTTTACATCAGTGCATCTCTGTTTTCCATACTGACAACACACCAAAGTATATGGTTACACATTCCAATCTGACAAGGATTAATGTCATCAAGCAAACACAAGGATTGGCATTCCTAACTTGACCATTGAAATAAAATTTGTGCAGTGGAAACTGGTACTTGCTCTTCCTAATTTTCTTCGTTGTGGTTGAGAAGTCACTTTTATGAAGACATTCTACTTTCTACTAAACAGGATTTATTACTGAGTCAAGTGGTTTACTCGAAGTAAACTACATTTCTCCTTGTGTCTTTAGGATCGTAGCTAACTTTCTCTCTAGATTATAGCTAAGTACATATCTGTAGTAGGTAAAATTAAATTTCGCTTCGTGAATATCCTTGTGTTTGTACACACTGTCTCCATTCACCAAAGCAATTCTCTATTCTCATTCATTTCACCGAGTACCTCTCAACCCATCACTGGTTCTCATCCTGTGTTATTCGCTCCCAGTTTGGCATTCATGTCACCCATTAGAATGAATTTTGATGACTTCAACTGTAGTGGGGTCTTGTCCAGTGTCGATTGCAGTTGTCTGTAGAATTCCTCCTTCTTCTTTTAATCTGCATTATTCGTAGGTGCGTGGAGTAGCACTGAATCATTGTGACGATCGATGGTTTATCGACCTATTATTCGCATTGCACTATGCTCTGGATCACAGACACGCTTCACGACGCCCAAAACCAGCCCTACTTCTCTTGCCGTAGACGGCATTATTCGACATCGTTGATCGAGATGTCTCATGCAATGTCTCAATGGGAGGCATGTCGAGTAATTGCACCACCTTATTGAAGGCTCTCTACTCCAGCACTCGTCGGTGTGTTACAGCCTATGATGAGATATCCAGGGAGCTATGATCATGAAGTGGTGTCCGTCCAGGTGCCCACTCTCTGCATTCCCATTCGATTTCATCATGGATATTCTCCTCGAGATCCCTCTCTCTCCACTTGATTACACAGGGGAGAATTTTTGTTGGACCTGGAATATGCAGATGACATCATCCTGTTAGGTGAAGTCGCTGACAAGATGCAGAGTCACCTGAACACTGAGTGGCAATTGGAGAATGTTTGGGGTGCGTTCCCCACCACCCAAATGCAAACTGTCACTCCAGGATTGGTGTTCAATGGTGCCCCACCACGGCTAACAACAGCAGAGAGTGTAGTGTTTGAGTGTATGTCAACTACTTCACTCTCCTGGGAAGTAGGATCAGTCCTCCACTGGTGGTTCACTGGCTGATGAAATCTCTGCACAGATACGAAGGGCTCGGTGGACTTTTGTCAACTCACGCTACCTGTGGCACTGCCGTCATATTCGATTGTCTAATGAGCGTTGCGTGTACTGCACCTGCACAGTAGTCCACCCTGTCCTACTGTATGGCTGTGAAACATGTCCGTTGAAGGTGGAAGACATGAGAAGGTTTCAGGTGTTTGACCACTGTTGCCTTCATAGTAAAGGCTGTATTCCGTGGTGTAACCATCATGTGAGTAATGCAGGAGTCAGGTGTAGAGTTTTAGAGAGGATAGGTAATTGAGTTGACGAGGTTGTGAAGCTTCATTGACAGAGATGGTTGGGAAGTGTGTTACGTATGCCTAATGTCTAGTCGCCATCTGCCTTGTCACACAATGTTGGCCGAAGTAGATTCAGACTGGAAAACAGCTGGAAGTGTCAGGACTAAAACATGGCATCAATGCATGAAGTGTCTGACTGTTAGTTTGAACAATGTGGGGTGATGTAGACTAGGTGGTTGTGGTCCACGGTGGAAGAGGAACCAGTGTTTAGAGACTCGAGTTGACATATCTCAGGACCGATGTCAGTGGCACTGATGTACACATACATTCTCCTCTTCTTAACTAGGCTATACCAAATCTCACCATTTCCTCATTCTTCCTTTCTCTCTTTTCGTACTTTATATTTCTTCTGAGTGGATTTTCTTATCTTCATCTTGCACTTCACTGCCTTTTTACTTGATGTAGTGACATGAGGTGTGGCAACTCGGACTGTCAGGCACTAACGCCTTGTTCTGTGTTGATTATGATGATATATATATATATATATATATATATATATATATATATATATATATATATATATATATATATATATACGTGGTTGCAATATGTCACGGTGAAAATTCCAAATCGTAACAAAACTTTGTTCAGAATAAAATTATTATTATTATCATTATATTCTTCGGCTGGATTCCTGATGGGTCAATTTGTCAGCTCAACTGATGTCGAAATATGCGTCCAATTATTCCTGGTTTTTAGATATGTTTTTGTTGGTCCGGATCCGTAATACAATCAACTCTACAGGATATTGATTTCCAGTTTATATTCATCATAAACTGACATCACTTGAAGGATCATTGGAAACCTAGAAGCACTGAATAGATGGTTCATCCTAGTGTGGGACTCTTCAGCAGTGCTCACTCGTGACACTGGTCTACCAAGGATCCAATCCATGACCTTCAGGTTTCACGAACAGAATGTCACTACTGAGTCTTGAGTCGGAATCCAATGGTCCATATTTCTGACTTGTGTCAGTTAACGACATAACACGACCATCATCTAATGTCATCGTTGATTATTTATCTTTGTGGCCAACAGGTATGTCTCACCGATTATGACTTCTTATTGGAACTTCAGGAATCACCTCTTAAAGCTAGTCGTCAAAGAGCAGTAGATCAATTTAATTTGAGGGTATTCATCATGTTATGTGCTTACTGGTAACTACCTTCAAGAAGTGATTCCTGAAGTTTAAATGAAAGGTCGTGATTGGTGAGACAAATCTTTTGGACTTGAGGACAAATACTCAGGGGTAACATTGGGTAATGGTCTTGCTATATCATGAACTGGTAGAAGTTGGATCACTGGATTTCTACCCAGTGTGTTAATGTTAACGTGTTGGTCAAGGAACCTGAGGGTCTTCGGTTCGATCCCTGGTGGGGAGTGGTGGAGGGTGCGCATTTCTGAGGAGTCCCATACTAGGATGAACTGCCTGTTCAGTGATCCCAGGTTTCCAATGTCCCTCTAAGTGATGTCAGTCCATAATGAATGCCAACTTGAAACCAATAAATCTCCACAAAATTCCCAAAAGGCTTCCAATTTAAAATATATGTGAAAGTAGATAATATTGAACATGGCAAAGTTGTCTTTCGTAGGTCATACTTCAACTATTACTGCTACTTTTACAACTACTCCAGTTGATTTAATCCCTTAATTTATTCAGACTGAAAAATTTTCGCTATTTTTTTATATATGAATAGACAAATATGAGCGTGTGACAAACATGTACCTTCAAAAAGGGAACAGGAAAAAGAAGTAGGCTAAACAAGTATATTCTATCCACATGGTTGAACCAATGAAATTCGTGATTAGCTATGTGAATGGTCATACAGTAGTGATGCGCTATTGACGATAGTCAGTATCAAAACTTCTTCAGTTTATGATTCACAACCAACACCCACTCGTAAAACATATCTCTGCAACTAATACATTGAAGATAAATATAATTCATGCGCATAGAGGGACTATTTTAGCATTTACAAGAAGAGTAAACCAACACACTATAGTCGACTGATTCACGTTCAGTCCAAATACAAATTTTACATTTCATAATCGTAAATTCACTTTGTGAAGCTCTTAACATGAAGATCTTGGAAATTGTTGCAGTAACCACTCTCTTATTATGTACTGGAATAAATTCTATGAAAAGTGAGTACCGTTTTTCCCCTTTTGTTTATACAGTTGCCCTATATTAATTGATTGGAGCATGAGAAATAGCCTACATGGACATCTTGTTCAGCCTAGAAGAGATTTTAGTGAAACTGGCACTTGATAAGTTTCGATTCTCGAAGCTCAGTAGTTGGGGGACCGAATTACCAACAGCCGAACCAATAATTCGTGCCTTATCGTTTTCTGGGTTTTTGTCGAATTCAATTATCATCTCCTTTTTGCATTATATGTACAAATAGGGAAGAGATGCTACTACTGCGTCGCTGAAGTATGGCACTGTGATTCTAGTGGAGTTCTGTCTTGGTGGAGAGATACTTCTTGGCTAGGAAAGTAGATTAAGGCGAAACTAGTTAGTTTTCTTTTCCAATAGTAGCTAACAAACAATTTAATTGGGTATGCAGTTTGGAAGTTTGTGAAAATTTATTTATTGATTTCAGGTTGTTATTCATAATGGACTGACATCAGATAGAGAACCATTGTAAATCTGAGAGTATTGGACAGCTGTTCCATCCAGGTATGAGTCTCTTCACCAGTGCGCACCCATGACTCACCCAGAGGTCAAGCTAGGGACCTTCAGGTTTCGTCTTTTATGGTAATGAATAGAGTCATCTGCAATTTGAGGGAACTAAATTTATCCGAAAAAGTCCAACAATATCATAGACAAAAAATAATTTCAGATATGGTCATAACAATACGTCTGGATATGCATGTTTTGTGAAAATGAATCTAATTTAGAAAAAGTGGTGAAAACCAAGGAACTTTGATGACTTACTATGTAACATTTTTGCAACTGTAGACAGAAGTTCGATTGCCTATAGACCATTGAATATAAAACCACCACGTTTCTGCAATACTCAAACTTATTGAAACATGAAACGGTAACCGAAATCCTGATTATCTCCTTCAGTGTCATACTAGAACTAATAATATTTTTACTGCTTCTCTGTGTAGCTTGATGGTAACCTACTTGATTTCTCACACGGTCATTAGTTTTAGATATATTACTGTATAGTATTTCGCATGATTTTAGTACTTATATCCAATTTGATCTTCATATTTTGTTTAGATGATAGTATCTTTTAAAAAGGGGAACAGTAGTGTATCATAAAGTTGAGTAAATGTTTCACCAAATACTGTAGGATAATGTATTTTTAAGATGAATAGGGATTTTTAATTTAGAAGTAGTATTCATCATGGACTGACATCAGTTGGGGAACCGTTGAAGATCTGAGAGCACTGGACAGCTGTTTCGTCCTACTGTAGGACTCCTCAGCAGTACGCACCCACGACCCGGCCAGAGGTCGAACTCAGGACCTTCAGGTTTCACGGCGAACGCGTAAACCATTCAGCCAGTTTCCAGTGGTTCACAATTTCAAACTTCTGTCAATTCACGACTGTAGGATAATATATTGCTTCGTAAAAATGAAACAGTCTAATATTAATGACAGATGGTGGCTAGCAATGGAATCCAGGATTCATGTTTCGTCCTACTTGGGACTCCTCAGCTGGATGTATCTGCTTCTCACTGAGTAGTTTCCCTTCCCTTCTAGGACTCGAACCCGGAGCCAGTGACTCCACACGCCAAAGCCCACCAAATCACGATAGCCACTTCCTTAATGACTATCAGCGATGACTTCGCTTCGTAGACTTTGTCTGATGTTAGTTTTACTTACGCATTCAACTTAGCTTGACTGTGGTTTCCGTTGAAAACTACCCAGCCATGAACAAAAAGTGTAATCTTTGACATAGACATGTTATAAGCTATCAAGATATACTGTTATGCAATATGAGTATTTTCAAACCGATCACTTTGATCTAACACTTTCCACGTAAGTCAACTAGCCAGATTGAGTCAAGTTAAATAATTTGGTACTATTGGCTCCATTTACTCGACTTCGTCACATATAGGTCATGTTTTAAATAAACAAAATGCCTGTTCGATTTTTAGGTCAATGTAATCTGACCATTAAGGTATGCAAATCAAAGCAAGAGGTTTCTAGTGGCTCATTTTATTCGACAGTATATATTTCAACATGATTTTAAATCACGTGAATTCATATCTTACTACACCTTGTGATTCTCATTTGATTTGTTGACAAATTTTAATATTACGGATAAAGATCGCATTAGAGATACCAGGAGAAAAGCATGACTACACTATTCGTGTAATAGTCTGAAACACTATTCCTGAGAATACATGTTTCATACACCCTGTGCGACAGGTCAGATCTGATATGAATATGGACAATGAATTATGTCCGAAACGTTATCCGGTAAATGCTACTGTTTCACTGTGTGATATTTCTAATAAACAGACTCGACCACAGTGCCCAAGTTTTACAATTATATTAAGGATAGTCAATTCAACTATCTAGTTCTTGGTACTTGATCTGCAGAAAGCCTCAATTAACCTAAGTTTCGTGGATGTTGGCACTCATCAGTAGGGCTGCATCAATTAGCTTAGTAACCAAATTGCAGAGCTCTAGATAGATGCTTTGATTAACGCTAAGAATTAAGGCCTAGATAGCTACATTGCTTACCTGTCGTTTATTAATCTGTGTACATGATTTAGTCCTTTAAGGGTTTGTTCACAGCTTGAATGTCTTGTTACTAAAGTCTCTAACTTAAAAATTGAGCGAAGCAGGTTGAGATAGCCGGGGAACACTAGTTTTACGCATGATCGTAGGTACGCTTTACTGACAAGTAGCAACAAGAAATGAGCGTCGGCTGAGCTTACCTTCTTGGTCTTCCCCAACATCTAATACTGTCAACTGTACTTATGACCAACAAACACAAGATTTAAGGTCTGAATATAAGTCGAGAAAATGATTTTTGTTAAATATAAGATTTTGGCAACATATTTTTAAGAGCTTTTATTTTTCAACGAATAAATTCACAACTGTTCAAGTAAACCTTTCAGTTTATGCACATATCGAATATATAGTGAATATTGAAAAGAGTGAACTATAAAAATTATGATTCATTTAGCCACTGTTTGCAATGTTTTAATAACTACCTGAGGATTTAGTTTTTGTGACATTCTTCAGAACATATTTATGTTCACTACTTATTTTCACATACTAAATTATCGATCATTAATATCTATCCCTGTGTTGAAATTCAGTGCTAAATTACTACTTGGTGATAAACTATCCATTAGGTGGTATGCACCATTCACCTGTTTAGAGCTAAGAAATGATTAGCCAATCGCTGCGCGACTTTATTACATCTAACAGACTTTGTCACTGAAATGGAAGTCACATATGAAACGGTAGTGATATCGGCTTTCATCTGGTTTTTACTCTTACAGTTTGTCTTTCATTAAAGCGCTTACATCTGGATTATTTGCAAAACCAGCAAAATTTAGGGGAATTAAAGACAGTTATAGAAGTGTTAGAAATATAACCCTCATGAGAATGACTACTGGACGTGAAATAAAACACTGAATATCAAAGTTATTCGGGCAGAGTGATACTGAATTGTGTTGAAACAATTACCAATATTGTAACTAATGATTAATTGGATGTTTCTTCCATTCCTACATTTGATTTAGTTTGCATTAAAACTAGGTAAAATAAAGAAAGAGTTGGATGTCTTTCACCTATATCACAGTTACCTCTTTAAATTCGTTTTGTAGACGTTGCAGTCAGTGAAATGATAGCACTTTGTTTGAACTATTATATGACACTGTCTTGCTGAGTGACTTTGAAGGCCACCTTAACAATAACTAAATTAACCAATTAGATTTCTTCGTTTTTTGAAGATCTGAGATGAGATCCGAGATTAAGAAACCTAATTGGTTATTCTGATCGTTGCTAGGGTGTCCTTTACAGTCCCCCGTTTTGCTTGAAGTCGCAGTCACCACGCTAGTCAATATCTTTATAGAATTGATACTGAGGTTGAACAGTGGCTAATACTGGAGCTTAGGATGCAAATCTCATCCTACCCAGCAATCGTCAGCTGAACGCATTTGTATCACAGTCGTAATATCATATCAGAATGTGTAATAATTGTGATAGAACAGTCTGGAAATACTGAAAGACACTGCCGTGTCTTGTTAGGTAATTGGTCTCTAAACTGTAAATCAAAATCAAACTTTAAGGTATGAGTTACCTCTGTTCATAAAAAATTGTGCTGCCTGAAAAGTGTTTTAAAACGGGCACTCTAAACAGAGTACTCCATTTTAAATAGCCTGAAGGCTACTTTTCTTCTCTCGAGAAGGTTTTGTCTGAAATGAAAACCACAGACGTGATTTGTATTCACCAGTCTCTTTCATAACGTGAGAAAACCTTTTATCAGCAGTGATTGGTGGATATTACTGGCTTGAAATAATGTGATGCAATTTTTTACCTTGTGTCCCTTCTTATTCCTGAATTGATCAAGTCCAACTTAATAAGGATTTATTCCATAACTTCTTCGTCTTCATTTAAGGCTATTTTGTACGTAGAGCAAAGTGATAAAGATACATTGGAATGAAACTTAATGTTTGGAGCATTTCAACTGAATTCTGTTCACTGCAACGTAATATAGTCCTCATTCTGAAAACCTCTCTTGTTTAAAAAGGATACATCTTGTCCTGAGGATCAAAAGTAATGTAGCTGGAAATAGAGATATTTCTTTCATCAAATACTAATTCCTGATGAAGAACATTTGCAAAATGAGCAGATAGGATACAAGGTATTAAATCTGTGGTTAGTTGATTGTTCGTTCACATGAAGCATTAGCTTGATATACCCTTAAAATTTCTTTTACTCAAAAAACAATCATGTTTTTCCCACTTCGTAACTGCTATCAGTTGTGCGTTACTTGAACGAATATCGCGCCAACAAATTATCATCGAAAATGTTTCAGCTACGCTAAAAATCATGTTTCATCACGAAAAGGTATTCACTATCCTGTTTTCAAGTAGTTTTTCAAAGTTCTAGTTTGATTTATGCCAACTCCCTCAACTTTCCTCCTGTTAGAATCAATTCATTGTA